CATTGATTGCCACAGGTGCAGTGGATCAGTTTTTTTTTTTTACCGCACTCAATCGTTACTGTGTGTTATCCAACATTTTCGCTTATCCGACGTTCTGCCGGCCCGTTTATGTCAGATAAGCGAGACTCTACTGTATTTAGAAAACTACTGAAATTGATGGTGAAGTGGCTGAACTACAGGTAGTCCTCAACTTATGACCACAATTGGGACCAGAATTTCCATTGCTAAGTGATGCGGTCATAAAGTGCAACATCACGTGACTGCATTGCTTAACGATGGCAATCTCAGTACTCCCCATTGCCATCATTAAGTGAATTCCACCTGTTGTTAACTGAGGACCCACCCCAATCCAAGCCATTCTGGGCTTGGTCCCTCCCAGCCTGGAGCCTCAATAAGGTAAGGGACTGCCTCCAACTCTCCCACCTACCTATCTCCCATCTCTGCCTTTTTGGCTGCCCTGCACCCTGCCTTGCAGGGTGGCAAGCAGCCCCAGAACTGTGTGGCTCTGGGGCTACTTGCTGTGCCCTGGGAAGCTGCAGCCACCCCAGCCTGGTCCCAGCTCCAGTCACTCTCGCCACCCCGCACTCCGAGACCCCTGCTGCCCTGTGCTCCTCCATCCCAGCTGACCTTCATTGTCCTCTTGCTCCTGCTGTTGACGAGGCATGCCTGGCCTGGCCCTTCACAAAGCAACTGCTGGCCACGAGGCCATCTTCCCCAGGTCTTGCGAGGAAACCACCATGTGCAACTTGGGGAAGAATGCCAGACGTGGCCAGCAGCTGCCTCACCAAGGGGCAGGCCGGACACGCCTCGTCAGCAGCGGGAGCAAGACGATGGTGAAGGTCAGCTGGGGTGGCAGAGCACAGGGCAGCAGGGGCCAAAAGGACAGGGGGGAGATAGGCGGGTGGGGGAGTTGCAGCACCCCTGTGGTCGTAAGTGTGGGCGGGCTGCCAAGTCCCCAAATTTTGATCACGTGACCGTGGGGGGCGCTACAACAGCTGTAACTTCCGGTTGTAAGTCCCTTCATTCAGTACCACCGTAACGTCAAACAGTCGCTGAACAAATGATCATAAGTCGAGAACTACCTGTATAGTTATTTTATGATTAGGTTAATGTTTTTATTTCTGTTTGCCACAGAGTTGCTTGTGTGAGATGGGCGGCCATATAAATTAACGAGTTAATGAATAAACGTAGATCTGATTTCATTATCTGGTTTTTTGGACTGGTACAAAACACGTGTCTCTGCACACCCCTTCCTCATTTCACCATCCCATACTAGGAGAGAAACAATGATTGGCACAACAGAATTTAAAGCGTGCATGAATGTCCAGTATCACAGTACCCATAAAACATAAATATAAAAGATAATAATAAATATAAAAGTTAAACATCCAGTATGCACATCCGGCCATTTGTGAACAGGCACATACAAACTTTATAGTAGAAAAGCTACGAATCCATTATGAAAGAATTCCAGTGACTGTTGCATATCAAATACCACTTCAGTTTATACTGTGTTCGATCCTTGCACCTTCTCCCATCCTGGAGGTAAGACTGGAGATAACCCCCAAAGACAAGACGGTCCCCCACCCTGATACTCTTCCGAAAGGCCTTGAAGACATGGCTTTGCCAGCAGGCCTGGGGACACCAGGTTGATACGGAGCCCATCAAATGGCTACTTTGAATGTACTGTGGCCACCAGGGATGGGTGTGTGTGGTGGGCTTTGTATTTGGGGTCTGCTTTTTGTAAGCCACCCAGAGTCACTGTGTGTGAGTTGGGCGGCTATATAAATTTGTTTAATGAATAAATAAAATAAATCCGCTCTATGTAAAGGGCTAGAAGCCACTCTTTTTTGGGGACAGAAGGATGGTTCCCATCTGTTCCTTGTTTTGGTAATGGGCAGCTCTGGTATCAGGCTGTTTGCCTTTGACTGTGTAAGCGCTACTTTGACAGCGCTAGAAATTATCATACCGTATGTTCAAATATGATAAAAGATCTGAAGCTTTCATGAAAAAGTGACCAATTGTTGAAAAAACCTGGACTGCATATGTGACAATACATTATATCAAATATTTGTGCACATACATAAGACCTCTAAAGTTTGTTCATATCTATTGATTGAAATAACAGACATAAGAGTTTGAGGTTCTTATCACCCCGTTCTCTATATTGTTCAGAACTAGTGTCTGAGCGGTGATGGAATGGAGAAAGGCCAATAGATGAGATGGCAGTTGCCTGTCCTTTGGGGTTTCCCAAATGATGTTTGTGGCCAGAAAGTTTTAATTGGTGTACCAACTGGCCCTTTCCTGATCTACTGTTCTCAGATAGTGGTAAACACACAGACCATGGTAACACGTTCTACCCTTGCACCTGATCTTCAAATTGTAAAGGGTGCAGAATGCAGTGGCCACGTTGTTGAGTGAGACACTTGGTTGGGTATAAGCTTCACTTCTGGGGTGCATGTACGTTGGCTGTCAAGTAGCTACCAAGCCACATTCTAGTTTTTATTACAACGTACATGGCTCTGAACAACTTTGGGACCCACATTTGATGAACCCCCTTTGCAATGATAGAGGTGGCTGATGACCACGATTGTCAGAGAGGACCAGCAGCATGAAAGAGTTGGTCTTCTCTGTGATGCCACCAACCTTCTGGAATGTGAGGCATTCTCATCTTTTAGGCACCTGTTGAAGACCTTTTCATTCTGCTAGCCTTTTGTGTATGAATTTCTGGTCTATATGCTGCTGCTTCTGCAGGAGTTCAAGGGGACTTCTCTTTATTCCCAGCAACAAATGCTCTATCTGTGACGTTGTTTGGACCAAGAGGGAAGGATTGACCCAAAGTCATCCAGGAGCTTCCATGGCTGGGATGGACTTCACCCTCTGCAGCCCAGTCCTGGTCCAACCTCCTAGTTACTACAACACATGAATATGGGACAAATGGTTCTGTTTTGCTTCTGTTTCCCTTTCCTGCTACTTTTTAAATGAATAAACCTTATATTGTTCACACATATTATTTGCATTACTGTAAACAATTTTATTGTAACCTGCTTTGCAATGCAACCGTATAGGAAGCCATATGGTCAGAACGCCACGCCATGCAGCTCTCATACGTGTGTAATGCAGTGTGGCAGATTATCCAAAAGGATGAGCAATGATGTAAATGCCTACGTGACAGTGCCCAACAGCTGTAGAAAGGTGAGCAACGTCACCTTCAGGTACAATCCAGACCCTTCAAGAAGGGCTTTTTCATCATTTCAATGCAACGTACAAATTCTACATATCGATGCTGTGCTAAACTGGATTAGTTCCCTGCTTCGAAGACTGCTAAACTGAAAATAAGCAAATCAGAAAGTTTGATCCTTATTGCAACAGCTCCCGTTTTACATTCTGTCTCTCGGTTTGAAGCCCGAGTTAGTAACAGCCGTAAACAGCCGGGACTGCCTTCCTGTGCGTGGTCTTCCTGTCTCTTTCACCCAGCCAAGACAAAAGGATAGCAGAGGTATCTGTAGTGTATCATCAAAATATTCACAACGGTGGGCATGGCATCGCAATCAAAGCGCATGTCCAAAAGAGGCAGGACCTCAATTGCAATACCATGGCTACCATCTTGCAGGCTTCAACCACCCAGATGCCCTACAGGATGGAGCAGGGAGTGGTCATTCCCCACCTTCTCCTGGATGGACACACCATCTTAGGAAGGTGAAGATTTTATGGACGGTCTTAGCCTTCCCAAAGCTGTGGAACTGGCAGTGAATTCTATGGAAAACTACCAGGGTATATATATGTGTGTGTGTAATTAACCACTGTAACTGGACTTTTCTTCCTTAATTCTGGAAGTGCCTGCTGATATAATGGTTAGATAGAATTGATGCAACATTTTATTATGTGGTGTAATATAATGTTAATTCTGACATTGTAGATATCTTAATTGTATTTTATTTATAAGGTTTTTAAAAATCCAACCAGGTTTTGGGGTTATTTGACTTCAGGCCACAGAACAGAGCAGTTTAGCAACTCCACTGAAAAAAATAGGGGGCATGATCCAGCCAAAGTTAAAATACGTTGATAGCCCACCGATTCTAATCGAAATATCTAAGTATGCGATTAACACTGCCTTGAAATTAAAGCAACTTCAAAGCACTCCTCCATGACTGGATCATGCCCCAAATTGTATTCCTATTTGCTATTTAAGCTCAGGTCACTTTTCTTGGGCTTCAGAATTAACATTTCAGCTATATATGAGGAACGGGGTTTTCTAAGAAACTGCACTGAGGCTTGTGGTTCTCCACAATGCAGACTTTGTCTGGAGAATGCATCCTGAAGAGGTCAGCCTTGGCCATCTGGTGTCTCCAGCTGTTTCACTACAACTCCCAGAATTCCTAGCCAGCAGGAGGAAAGGGTGCCGTCTTAAAGCAGAACGTCAAAAAAACAAAAGGAAGGAAGAAAGGTTACCGTTCGGAAGTGGCTGCTCAAATGATCCAGCCTACTGAATCTTTTCCCGCAGGCTTCGCACGGATACGGCCGCTCTCCCGTGTGGCAGCGAAGGTGTCGCTTCAGGTCCGCTTTCCGTTTCACCACGTGAGTGCAGAAGGGGCATTTGAACCTCATCCTCGGGAGGTCATCTGCGGATACAAAGCAGTCCCTTCAGCTGCGAAAACGCCAAGGTGGACCCAGCAGCTTCCTTCAAGGCCACCAACTGGCCTGAGTGGAAACACCAGTAACCCAGTGATTCTGGAACGAGCATAAAGCATGCGGAGTGGCTGGACATTATGTTCTGATGTGGCTTGATTCTGTTAAGGCAGTGTTGTCCAAACTTGGCCGCTTTAAGATGAGTGGACTTCAACTCCCAGAATTCCCCAGCCAGCATGG